GATGAAAGACACCTAGGTTTTTAGCTTCAGGCAATCCAAATGTTCTGTTCTTTTTCATAAGAGCATCACTAGCTTTCGCATATATCTGACATAAAGTTGGTACTTTTAATTATTTCTTGAATTAATGTTTTTGGTAGCAGAATGTGAAGTGGCTTCTGTTCACTACCACTGGAATTTGATTGTAGGGATGCATACGCATTAGATACAGTGGTTTTTGAAACTCAGTAAGCCATTTAGAAAAGATTCTTGACTTTAAAGAATGGTGAATTTGAATTTTGCTTAGAAATATTAATCTGATGAATGCATACAGACTGAAGTTAATGAGGAAACATTCGAGGCATAAGGGATGAGGCTTGATGTAGTTGGATGATTGTGGAGATGAGAGGTACAGGCCGGTGTGCGAAGGGACCGGAGGCTGGAAATAGTATGACCCACTCTAAAATCAAGATCCGCGCTGTCTCAGTATTACTCCTTTTCTTTTGCCTGGCGCAGTGGGATCATCAGTTGGACCAATTACTGGGGCAGGAACTCCCGCTTCACCAGGCAGTGAAGTTACATCATCTGAAGGCAAGTCAAGATGCTTAATATATAACATGATGTCCCCGTATTGGCAGTATAATAGACAAATGCAAAATTTAGACTGAATTTCAGGTCAACATACTCGGATCCATCAACATAGTGCTTATTTACCTCTTTCTGTCAATAAAATTAATCAGGCAAAACTGAGGTGTCACCTGGCACAACGCCTGGATCTGGAAGTAGCAGCACCCTCGGGGAAATAGGCACTGGAGCTACACGTTCTGAACCATCAGGCAAGTCCAGATCTAAGATTTTGGAGTTTCCAAACAATCTCTCTTATAGCAGTTTGATATTTAAACTGAAGATTTGGTTATAACTGGCATTATATTCAATAACAGAGGAGAAAGAAATGATAGGGATTGATTCATTGATTTCCATTTTTTCCAGAAACTTCAGGTGCTTTACATTAGAACAGACACAGATTGCCTTAATCATGATTTCTGGGTTTCAGGGACCTCAGGAGTCTCTGCAGGTTCCCCCACCACCGGTCCTGGTAGCAAGGGCATAAAGGGAGCCTCAACTACACCAGCCACAACCGCCAGAAGCCAGGCAGGTAAGTAAAAGGGAAAACACAGTGCTTCTTGTTCAAGGGCA